TATTAATTAAGGTTTTTAGTTGAGATAAAACTTATTTCAATATTGCTTGGAGAAAAAAACCTGTGCTTTTCGTAATGTTATATAAGATTTTTTTAAATTGTTTGTAGTGTTATTACTAAGATGATTTAAGAAAACATTTTTGCCTTGTTTGTCGTCGAGAATCCAATCCAACACGACATTTGAAAATTGGCAAAAAGTAGGAAAAATTCAATAGTCGGGGTTGAGATGAGAAGTTAGTGTCCGAGTGGATCGAGGTCACGATAGCTCAAGTGGTAGAGCAGTATCTAGCCGAAGATCGTGGGTTCGAATCCCGCTCGTGCCAGTGATATTTTTATCTCAACCAAAACTCTTAATTAATTGTAATATATTAATTGGTCAAGCGGACAACGAAATTAGTGAATTTAAATTAAATATTTAATAACGACAAATACTATACATTATGAATTTGGGTGTACAAAACCTAACTAATTACAAAACGTTTAGCAAGATAAATGACTTTATAATCTGGTTAATCTGAATCTCAAATTACTGACTTTTTTCTGCCTCCGACGCCCAAGTACTAACGTTACGAAAGAAAAAGTAAATGGTCTATGAAAAATACCTTACTACAATTTTTAACATCTTTATCTATAAATTCACTAATTTCGTGGACCGCTTGACCAATTAATATATTAAAATTAATTAAGGTTTTTAGTTGAGATAAAAAAGTCAATGGCACGAGCGGGATTCGAACCCATCTTTATCTATTTTTTACAAGTTAGAAATGATGACTGTTGTCGGTTTTGTTGAAAATATTTATATTATATTATATAATATATGTTTCTTTCTGGTATTTTTCATCAAAATATGAGTTGGTAGCGTTATTTCGTGGTCTTAGAAGAGCTTTTATTCGAATTTTTTAAGTATATTTAACACTTAGCTTTTACTAGTTTAAACAAATATTGGATTGGTGCAAAATTAATGCAGGTTGTGAAAATTTGTTCTATTTTTGCAGGTGCTTGTCATGCAAGCAAAGCTACACCCTCAAATCCAATTTATGGATTATAATAAATATTTTTAAATGTCATCTTTTATAAAAAACATTTTAGTTTATATTGAATTTTATAAGAGTGAGGATCTGCAAAATTAAATATGTCCGAAGTAGATTTTCTTCAAATTTGATTGGACCAATTTAAACTTGGGCGAAGTGAGGCCCAAACCGCACATGACATCAATACAGTTTGGGGGAGAGAAGCATTAGCGAATGCACGGTGAACTGTTTGTTTCAGGGATTTCGTCTTGGAGATTTCGATTTCGTAGACAGCGAAGGTCGTGATAGGTAAAGTAAAGACTGTGGATACTGCACGAACTAACCGAAACCCAAGGAAATCGACGTTTTGAAATTTCCACGTTTTTTCTATTGCGCCACCGATTTGATCCATTTCTCGATGGAATTCTGTAATATATTCGGTAACAACAGGCGTAGAGGTCAGTGGTTGGTCAAGGATGAAGAGCCAAAACACTTCCCGAATCCAAATCTGCACCCAAAAAAGGTTATGATGACTGTTTGGTGGTGTACTGCTAAGGTTGTTCGGTATAATATTTTGAATTATAGTGAAACTATCACAGCAGAGAAATATTTCCAAAAATGGACAAAATGCATAGGAAACTGCAACTTCTTTGTCCAGCATTGGTAAGCCGTAAGGGCTGATTTTTTTCACGATAACTCCGGACCTCATGTCGCAATGCTATCCCTTCCGAACTTAAGGACTTAGGATATGAAACCTTACTGCACCCTCCACATTCGCCCGACTTCTCGCCTACAGAATTCCACTTTTTTAGGCATTTTGGCCACTTCTTGCAATTTTTATAGAACGCGGTGAAGCGGAAAACGCTTTCTAGACTTTGTCAGTCGAAATAAAGGCTTTTATGTCAGCGCTTATTACACGTTGGCAAGTTGGCAAAGATGTATATATTGTGATGGAAAATATTTCTAATTAATTTTCTTTTTTTTATAAAAATTAAAAATAGTTTTGACTGACTTTTGAAAACCTGCATTATTTTTACACTAGCCCAATATATTGGTTTTTGGAAATAAATACTTCAAAAACAGTCCTCTAATGCCAGAGTTATTAAATTTTTAAAGATATTGTTTACAACAGTTGCACTCGAATTAAATAGTTTTAAAATAGTTAAAATACTTCTGGTTCTCGTTTGGTACAGTTAAATTAAAAAATACAGGGTCCTGGTCTCACTCTTTTATAAGCCTAAAGGTAGATGATATTCGAGCGGGATTTCCTCAAGGTTCAGCCTGAACATTCCAAGCCTTGAGAAATTCCTCAACGTGTGTGGCGGCGACCTTCAGGCCGCGGTGAGAGGAAGAGGACGAAAAATCCCGAACAAAAATCAATTATTTTTCCGCCTTGAGGCCGGTTTTCGCAAGTCTTTTCAAACGCGTTAGGGTTGACGACAGTCCATTGAGAATCTGTGAAGTTGTGGCCATTTCGCCATGTCTCGACTAAAAGAATTTATACAAAATGTACCGGAATGAACCTTGCTTGAGCAGCTAAGTTCAAAACACTACAATTATAAAAATAAAAAGGAGGCCGCGTACCTGTAAACTGTTGTAAAAAGGAAAGGGCGCAAAAACAACAAAGAATGAGGTTAATCGTTAATAATCAATTAACATGAGAAGCGCTGACCGAAAAAAATAAAATAAGGAATTGCTGACGTCTTATTGTTCACAGTTTCCCTTTCAAATTAACCAAATATAGAGTCTAAAACATTGAACAGAATCGTTACATCATTTATTGACGAACTTTCTCAAACATTTAAGTGAGAAGTTTTTATTTTACCAACATGTAAATGAGTTTAATGTCTAATATATGTAAAAGTAAATACTTAACCAAAGTAATGTTTGCTTAGATAATTATGCTTAATACTCATAATGGATGGTTTGAATTTGGTAGTGTGATGAACACAGTTTTCCTAATTTTCAATATTTCGTTTTTCCTTATATTTAACTTGTTTTTCACCCCAACTGGGAAGACACCTCTCCGTAATGGGTATTCTACCAGATCCCTTTTGCCGTTTTTGCGAAATAAAAGAAGAAACGGCAAGGTCACTACCTCGCAGAGATAGGTACTCTAGGTACAGATTTGAAACTTTTGAAGGAGAGGACATTACCAAATCACTCCCCGAGATAAAATGGTCCAAAATCTTGGGGTTTGTGGTTTGTGAACAAGTCCAAGAAATTTATGCAGGACACGTGAGCCGACGAAGTCCTTGAACTTATATATATAACTTGTTTTTGGAAATATTATATCAATTTATTGCAATTGTGTTATATTGTTAGGGAAACCCAAAATTTTTAGTGTTGACAATATTAAAAGGAGTTTATATGCTTATTTATTATTAAATCGCTTTATCATAGAAATATTTTCTGATGTTTCCTTTTTGAGGTATTTGGCGTTTAGGAACCTGTTCATTCCCGCCCTTGTGGAATTCTCCGTTTTAATATGCAGTCATCCAAGCAGAACAAAGTCGGTGTGCTGGATTAGCCAGAGATGAAATTCTGCAAAAATACGTCAGATGTATAAGATTTGACACGGGTTTCGGCAATTAGGCGTTAACAAAAAAAAAAAAGGCGTATCGGTAGCCTTTACGTTGAAAAAGAGTTACTACTAACCGTAAAATTCTTTCTATACACAGACAAAAAAATTACATTCGAAAGGGAGGCCGCGTACGTGTTAACTGTTAAAAAATTGCAAAAGTTGGCGCAAAGACAACAAAGGATGACGTTAGTAATTAATAATTAATTAATATGAGAAGCGCTGACCGAAAAATGAAAATAAAATAAAGAATTACTTAAGTCTTATGGTTCACAGTTTTCCTTTCAAGTTTACCAAAGTCTAAAAAATTGATAAAATCGTTTACATCATTTACTGATGAAATTTCTCAAAACATTTACCTGAGAAGTGTTTGTTTTACAAAAAAGTAAATTAGTTCAAGCTTTAAGATGCATATAAGTAAATACTTAACCACCGTAATGTTAGATCAAGATAATTATCCTTAATACCCATAATGAAGGTTTGAATTTTATGGTATTTGTTAGTGTGATGAACTAATTTTCAATATTTCGCTTTTCTTTTATTTAACATGTTTTTGAAAATATTAATTTATTCCAAGATTTTATTGTGAGTCGACAGAAAGATTTTTATGTCAGCGGAATAAAATCACTTATTAGCATGTTGGCAAATATGTATAGATATTGGAAAATATTACGTATAAATTTATTTTATTTTATAAAAACTAAAAATCCTTTTGCTACAATCCATTTGCTTATTGTCTTATGGTCTCAAAATTCAAATGTTAAAAAAATTTGCTATTGTTGAAGACTATAACTCTTGATTATAATATAAAATTCTTTAAATTAAAAATAGTTTCTAATTCACTAATTTCGTGGTCCGCTTGACCAATTAATATATTACAATTAATTAAGGTTTTTAGTTGAGATAAAAAAGTCAATGGCACGAGCGGGATTCGAACCCACGATCTTCGGCTTGATACGCCTTTTGACATTTGAAAAATGGTAAAAGGAGGGAAAATTCAAAAGGTGGGGTTGAGATGGGAAGTTAGTGTCCGAGTGGATCGAGGTCACGATAGCTCAAGTGGTAATAACAGTTTTTAATTGTTAATTTACATAACTTAAAAATAGGAAATTATTGAACTAAAATTCGATGCTAAATACATAATGATTTTGTGTAAACAAGATATAACTTATTACGATTAATGGGATTATAAATAGACGAATAGAAATATATCTGTGCAATTTAATTATTTCATTATTAAGCTCGTTGTTCTTTTATTCTCAGATAATTTAATTCTGCCTTGAGTAATTAGAGATTTTTTTTATTGGCAATTTCTTGGGTAGGTAAGGCGATATATCATTTTTGTTTTTGTTATGAAATCATTAATAATAATTGAAGTATGAAATCAAACGTTAAAAATGTCAATATTACCTGTTCTGTAAACAATCCCGAAAGCTCTCAGCATGAAGTCACACGTGCCGGATGCTTCCATGTTGGCATGGTTGAGCTGGTAGACAACACTTCCGTATGCTGCGACCCCGCCGGATTCCGAGTTGAGCTTCGTATGCTCGCACAAATGCCTCCTTTCGTCTCCTGACACCTGTTGACATTAGGAAAAAAACAACAAATAGATTTGAATCAGTGATGATTGATAGAATTTGTTCATCTTCCGTTGGCTTGAAAAGATCCTGGGTATTCTTATGAGAAAATGTTAAAGGGTGAAAACTAGTTGCCTAACTTGTTGCCCGTTTTAAATTACAACCTGTCTAAGGAAATTTAAGCAAGAATTAATTTTTCTACTAATTATTCATCCGCTATTTTATACGACGGGTGTTATGAATTACCCCCGTTGGAGCCGATTGTTCATAATTCCACCATTCATTTTCTCTCTTTTGTATAAAGTAATTAACCTTTTTATTAGTTTATAATAGCATTGGCGAGCACCACATTGCATTATGAACGATTCCTTCAAAATCTGTTTCATCTGACTAAGGAGTTTCGTTCATTTAAATAATTAAAACGAATTAGAGTATTCAATAAAAACATTTACTTTTAATTGTTATAGAAAATAAATGTGTAAGACGTCTAAAAATAAAACAAAAACTATAACAAGCAGTAAACAAGTTATACTAATTATATTAATTTGATTACGGTTGGGTCAAAAAATAAAGAAATCAAAAATTATGTAATAAAATGACAATAATATTTATTTTTCTATTTATAAATAACTATTGAAATTATAATACATATTATTAGGTTTCGTCGTCCGCTTGACCAAATAAATTCTTTTCAATTAATTAAGGTTTCGGTTGAGATAAAAAAGTCAGTGTCATGAGCGGGATTCGAACCCAGGACCTTCGGCTAAATACACCGCTGCTCTACCATTTGAGCTATCATGACTTCGATCCACTCGGACACTTCCCATCTCAACCCTACTTTTTGAATTTTCCCTCCATTTTGCCATTTTTCAAAGAGGTTTCCAGTCGAGCAGCAGCGTATTTAGCCGAAGGTCCTGGGTTCGAATCCCGCTCGTGACATTGACTTTTTTACCTCAACCAAAACCTTAATTAATTATAATACATAGTTGAACCTTGGAAATCTACACTGAAAATTCTCATAGTTGTATATTTTTTGTGACAAAAAGAAACAAGGGAAAAATAAACGTAATACCTTCATCAAACAGAAAAAAAAATTTCCTTCAAATCTATTGAAACTATTACGAAAAAATCGAGAAAAAAAAACATATATATTATATAATGCTGATTAGCACAAGTTATAGCTATACTGTATAACAAGAAGTACATTAGTTGGTACAATTGGAATATTAATTAACTAAATATTTATTAAATGTGACAATTTGAATTTGTATATTTAATTTTAAACACTATTTCGGATTTTTGCAAACCAGGTAATTTAAGTTCAAACGATGGTTATTTTGCCAAAAAATGTTGTTTAAGAAAAAAAAAGAGGAAAAAAAAGATTTCTGACTGTATTTGTTATGATATATAATTAATATAAATGAGCTATGTACATTAAACTATGAAGTGTTTGTATAAACTCTTCTCGTATTGACTATGGGATTGACTTTTTCAATATATAGTTATGAAACTAAACTGTTATCATGTCTCAACCCAAAATACAATCTACCACAGCTCGTAATAATATTTCTTTTAGTAAAAATGCAATATAGGCTAATTAGGTCATGGGCAACAAAACTGTATAATTAAATATTAATTCTTCGCAAAGCCCCTCTGTCTACGGCGTAAATCTTCTTTCGACCCTTTTCAATGAGCAATCCTCTTAATTCCAGAAACATGGAATCATCTGTATAAAACAAAAGATCCTCATTCACTCATCAATGTTAATTTTAATGTGTAAAGGCCATAAATCTTGTATTGGAATTGGTTATCTAGATCTAGACATTTTATTAGATAAACAAATAATCATTTTTTTATAATATTATCGATTTACATAACTGCCAAGAGACGCTAAGATTGCAATAAAAAACATGATTAAAAGAAGGTGGGCCGGAAACAGAGAAAAGAGCTCTATTGATGAGTGGACCTGAGTATCTGACTCATAAAAGAAGGATCATCTTCGCCCGATGAAGAATATGCCATGCTTACTTTTGGACCAAAACCCGCGTATGTGTGCAGAAAAACGTTTGCTCGTTGTGTCCCACTTAATTGGAACGTGCAATCCCTTGGCTCCGTACAGAGAGCGCGTAGGAACGCCACCCGATTCGAGAATCGTACTCGAGCTCATCAGCGAGTATTTGGGTCTCCTGTTCCGATTCTTGGAGGAAACAGGGTTGTTATATAGTATATAGTAATAATAGTTGTGTATAACTAGTTCGTGTAGAGAGTGAATTTATTTACTAGCGTGAATGGTTTATATGAGAAAGTCTATGGCGGAATATCAAGTACCCGTCGACCCTCAATTAAGCTAGTTGTATAATATGTGTAATGGGTGATGGAGGAATATCGAATACTTCGTCACCCTAATTGAATGAATGGTGTGTGTAATAGGAGTGAATGGATTTAAAAATGAACGTGAGTATGAATGGGTTTGGAATTGACTTAGCTGATGACATCACCCCCCCCCTTCCAACCACGGACGGATGAGACTGAGATCTGCCCCTGGAGCGCCAACATCCTGGCTGGGTGATTCTCGAGTCTGCCGGCAATTTACTATAAATAACAAAAGCTGGAATTGCCGGTGGACTACGTGAAGCCAGTAGTCCTCATGTCGGCACATGTTTGTATATTCGTACATGTGCAGATTTGAGCCTTTTCAAATCCAAATCTCCATGGAGAATCAAGATCAACGAAACCAAATCAACAAACATAATATTCACGCTAAACCATAAAATGATCACACCAGTATACTTCAAAAACGTTCCCATCCCTGCAGCGAACCACGTACGATACCTCGGACTCTACTTGCACAAACGACTGACGTGGTACGCACATACACGATTTAAGCGCGCAGACTGTAGCATACAATTTTTCCTGCTAAACTACTCGACAGACGATCTAAAATGTCACTGACAAAAAAAAAAAAAAAAGAAACTACATTGCTCTCCTGGCCCCCATTTAGACAAACGGAATTGAATGGGACTGCAAAGCGTTCCGACCTAATCGAATCCAATCCCTCCAATCTAAAATCCGCAGAACAATAGTCAATATTCTTTCTGTTTCCAATCACGCCATACAACCTAAACGTTCTTGTTACTCAACTAGGTCAATCCCGCTACAAAACGTTCCATTCTAAAGTACCCCACCATCCAAACCGTCAACAACTTGCCGTCCAAACTTTCCAAATTACCTAATCATCCTAAGGCTAAGGCCACACCGGAGGTGACAATGTAAGAGACTAAGATGGCAAGGCGAGTCGTTTGGTGAGTCACCCAAAAAACAGTGTAGAACATATGAGAATGGCCACACAAGCACGCGGTTACATAGCAATTCACCAGGAAAGTCACCTAGTAAACGAGCGAGTGTATTTTTACCTGGTGGGAAGTGATTTCTGAAAATCAGAATCATGGTGGTCGAGGTTATTATTTCCGCAGGTTTTAAAAGACCTGATACTATGCAATCCAAATGAGGATCTCCATAAAAATCGTAACTACGTAATTGTCCATACAGCATTTTGAATTCACCTTCTTACATTCCTCGCCGATGTTTCCTTTATTCAATTTTAATACATTTATTTTAAAAGTTTATTGTTTTAATTTATTTCGGTCAGGTCCCGATTTTTCTTTTCATTAATTAGTTTGTCCGAGTTGAGGTACGGATTTGTTCACACTCGTGAGTGGCACGAGTTGCTCGATCTGAAGGGGATACACGCAAAGTTCGTAATGACACAAAGCACAAATCACTACTAACTTCAACCTGGTGTGGCCACTTGTAACCTGCTACCAAGTAACCAGGTGACTCAGTTTGTTACTAAGCACCTAGCTTATCATCTCCGGGGTGGGCTTAGCCTAAGAGAATACTGAAGCGTTGTGAATTGGCCTCCTAGGATGTAGTCCACCTCGCTCAACGTATTACTGTACTAAAGGCTACCATCACTGGATAGTTGCTGCTCAAGTTTCCATACTATTGTTTATATGTTTTACTTATTTCGTCGAAGAATGTACTAAAAAATAAATAAATTTAAAATAAGTTTACAGCCTTGTTAAAATTAATTAATTGTAAATATTCAAAAGGTCGCGTTTTTCAAGATATAAGATGTATAATTGTAAACTATGATCACTCAGTTCGGTTTAAGCATAATCATAATTCGCAATTGTGCAAAATATGAAATTGCTCTAACTCCAAATGGAAATATCCGAAATATGGAAAACTTTTTTTATGTGCCATATACTTATGTAAATAACAAGCATTGAGATAGGTAAAACATTTAATTAGAATGCTATTTTAAGCTTTTTTGTTAATATTGCACAATACCAATATTACACCACAAGAATAGCTCAAACAAATTATTGCAATTAGTGTTAAATACTTTATTTTAGTTAAATACATATTGTTAAGACTAACTGGGTTTTATAAACATTCATGATAAGAAAAAAATAACAAACGAAATCTAAAATTTGTTGATTTTGATGGCAGAGGTTTATTAATCGTAATAAAATTATGAGGATTAAGTTACGTCATCCTCTATTTGAGTACACATACATAAAAATTGATAATCTCTTTAAATAGAAATATGAAATGCTAAATTGGAAAAACAATTACGCTTTAAAATTAATTATTCAGAAATCGTGAGATGCGGTCTGGTGTGATGTAGGTTTCAGAAAAACATTTTCTTTATCGTGCCAACGTTTCGGTCTTTATTGAGATCATCTTCAAAGCCTGAGATTTATTTATTTACATTTAACAAATACATGTAGGATGTGGAAAAAAGTAAATTTATACAATGCAAAATATATTTTTTTATTTTCAATCAAAGTATTTCTACTCATTCAAGGTGTTGGTGGTACTACTCACTTTTTTCCACATCCTACATGTATTTGTTAAATGTAAACAATGTTTGTAAATCCCAGGACCTGAAGATGATCTCAATAAAGATCGAAACGTTGGCACGATAAAGAAAATG